GAGCGGAGTTTGCTCATAACTCAGCGTTTCACTCTTCTGTAGGTCAGACACCGTTTTTCCTTAACTCCGGCTCTAACCCAAGGACTCCACCGGGTGAAAAGTTGGAGGATGTGCACCCTGCGTCTGTTCCTTTCGTTGAGCGTTGGCAATCTGCTCTCGCCTTTGCTCGCAAGTGTTTAATTGCAGCTCAACAGAGACAGAAAGCGGATGCAGACCAGCGTCGAATAGAGAAAACGTTCTCTGTGGGAGATAAGGTTCTTTTGAGTACGAAGTATCTTAACATTAAGCGTGGCGAGACTTCTCGCAAGCTTCTCCCCAAATGGATTGGTCCATTTGAAGTCGAGCAGGTTGTGGGTCCCGTAGCATACAAGCTGAAGATGAATCCAGGTTGGCGTGTTCATCCTGTATTTCACGTATCTCTGCTTGAGCCTTAGAGGTCAGACGTTGCCGGAGCATTCGTCAAACCTTCGATCAACACTTTGAACTGGAAATGCCCAAACGGCGTACGAAAAGCAGTCTTCGGACGATCCTCTTCCGAAATCAAGATCTGATGGTAGCCAGACGTAAGATCAAGCGAAGTGAAATATTGAGATCCAGACACAGCGTCTAACAGATCATCAATACGAGGAATCGTACAACGGTTTTTGATGGTTATCGAGTTTAGCGCTCGATAATCCACACACAGACGAAGACCACGACCGTTGGGCTTTGGAACAAACAGAACAGGTGCTCCATACGGAGATTGGGAAAACTCCACAATTTGCGCTTTAAGAAACGCAGTCACCTGTTTTCCAACTCACGATATTCCAAAGGAGATAAACGGTACATCTGCATAAACGTAGGTGGATGACCTGGCTCGGTAGGAATACTGTCACCTTCTGCACGAATAGGAGGCAAGTCAACCGGCATTGGACCCTGAAACACTTCAAAAATTTCAGACAGCAAATCGGAAACCCACTTCTTCTCACTTGAGACGGGGTCGATCGGTTGGACATGTTGTTCATGGGACACAGTTGTAGGAGACCCAACAGAGCCAGCTACGGATGAAGCGTCGACGGCCTGGGGCGGGACGCAATCGTCCATTGGCTTCAGCGAGGCCAAGTACATAGGAACGCCCTTCCGCATCAACCGCTTCATCTGCGAATAAGACAACACACTGGGATTAGCTTTCTTTTCTTCAACGACTTGCAAGCGAGGAATAGCAGGGCTTTTCACAGTTGTATTTCTTTTCCCCTTCTGGATCATCACGCAATTCTTGCCATAATGCATAATGCAATTATGCTTGTCCATAAACTCATCGCCAAGTATAAGATCCACTTCGTACAATAAATTCATGACATAGCACTTCACAGGCTTGTGAAACGCCCCTAATTGGACGTACACTGTCGCCTCACCCAGAATATCTTCAACAACAACATCGTTCGCCAAACGCATAGTCCGAGAAGAAGGACTTACGGTTATGCCT